AAAAAAAAGTTTTTTTTAGAATACTTAGGCTAATATACATCTATCCAGTTCAATGAACTTTCACTTTTCACTTTTTTGTAATACAATATTTAATGATGACTAATACACACTGAACCTCCCTCTTTATAGTGAGAATATACAAAACTACACTGTAAATAGCAACTTCTTAACAAAAGGGCTTCTCTTTGAAGTATGGATCATTTACTTTTTAATTTCAGTACTTTTTAATTTAGCAAAGCTATATTAAAAAAAAGCCTTCATAATAGCAACCAGCACACTTAAAGATATTTTTTTCAAAACTAAATGCACATGGAGAAAGAAAAAAACATTAAATCCTTTTTATACTTCATTCTAGCAGAGCACTGTCCCTACCCGTAAGGAAAATTAAAGTTTCACCAGAGTACTACAGCTCATTAGCATCTTTAATGTGTGCACTCAAACTACATTACTGAGGAGGCAATTCACCCAAAAGACTGGGTTATGTTTTCAACAAGGCATCTTACATAACCATTAACAGGGAATGAACAGGGACAAAAAGAGTGTTTTTTTAAACAAGGTTACACAATCACATGCATGCAAAATGAGAAAAGAATAACTAAAGTGCCACCTTATTTTATGCACCAAATGTAAAATAATAGAAACTAACTCTCAAATGCCTTCATTTACTGTAAAAATATACTTATTTTCAGTCACTAAGCACAACAAAAACAATCATTTTGCATAATTTTGTTTCTCCCACAGAATCTTATGGTATCTTAGGATGTCATGTCCATAGTTGGAAGAGAAGGGATGAAAGAGTTAATAAACCTCTCCCATAAACAACTAACTCATTTATTGTATAATAAATCATACATACTGTGTCAGGATCCTTACCACGGTAGGACTAAAACACTCAAAGCCAAGCTCACTGAACCTCATTAGCTCAATAAACTAGGGTAACATGAAATTCACCCCACATTTAAATATCATATACACATTCTTTGCTACAGTTATATATTCTATTGGAAATTCTAGTGGAAGAAGAAAAGGGCATATTCACAATGACTTATTATAAAATAAGTGCATCATGTGACTGTCAAGCTTTGTCATTTAGTGTAACTAAATGCTCTACTTTCACCCAATTATTTCACATGGCATTACAAAGAAAAGTCACGGAGGAGCCTAGAGAAGTCTTGTTAGATTTTGAAATATCCTACAATCAATAGCTTTGTAAATATTTCCAAGAAACATGCAAACAGCAAGAATGCATCATTCTTAGTTAAATAAATAAACAATAGTGTCACTCAATCTTTAAAACAATATTCCCATGGATATTTGTGCACTGAGGCATACACAAGTAAAATGCAGCTTTTCATTTTGCGCTAATCACAATATGATCTCCCTCGCTCTCTGCATTTTAGTGTTGAATTTGTATGCAGTGCAAGTAACAGTACAGCAGAACTGTATTCCACACAGAAACACTGCTGAGTGAACAAACAGCTTCTAATAAATATATTCTCCTGCAAAAGAACTGTGTAACCTGTGAAACAGAGCGTGATCTCAAGACATAGTGCCTGCTTTTTTAATTTTTTTTTCCTGCTCTTTCATATTAACTCAAGCTCTTACTAGGAGCAGTTAAAAAGACAACATTTAAACAAACAACTTGCAGCACAGCATACAGTACATTGGAGAATGCAGAGGAAACTAAAGAGCAATGGGAGCTCAGACCATTTAATTTTAATACACAGGACATGCATTGCAATTGCTGTGCCACTGAATAATTTGTACACCGCTATGCAAATAGAGGTGAACTGCTCTTATTTACTTGTTTGACTGTTGCAAAAAATGAAATGCACAGAAAGTTTGGGGAATATAAGCCTGTGAATAATTGATGGCGTTCATTTTTACAGCATGCTCCATTAAGTTGCAGGGAGCTCTGCAGTATATCAACAGAAATGTCAAAGCATGAAGCTCTAGTCAGCAAACAAAAACAACGCAAAAATGATCTGAAATCCAAAACAACAACAAAAAATAATTCAGAAACTGTATAATTTTCAGAGATATACTAACCATGGGCATCATTTCACTTTGGATAAGAGCTTTCACACTCCTCCAAGATCTCCATATTTCTGTATTGACAAATATTCTGTTTTACTGCTGAATCCAAAGGTGGCTAGAACCTCATCAACAACCACTGTTCTAAAAGAAGTTTCTAATGCAAAGAAACTACATGGAGCTGGGGCTCTGGGATTAATTCCAGACCTGAGGTCCCACTGTATCTGTGTGGAGTTTTTATGCTCTCCTTGTAGTTATATGGATTTCCCCTGGGTGTTCCAGTTTCTTCCCACAGTCCAAAGACATAATGGTAGGTTATTGGCTTGTGTGAGAACTAGCGCTGTGAGGGTTTGCATATTTGTGTCAGTATGTGTCCTGCAATGGACATGCGTCCCATCCAGGGTGTACCCTGTCTTGTACCTGTTGCTTGCCAGGAGGGCTTCTGTCCCTTCTCCGACCCTATACTGGATAAAGCAGTTATAAAATGGATGGATGAAAACATACTATAATATTTCCTGATGCCAATGGCACACTGTGAGGTTTTTTAAAAATCATAGCCAAGCAAACTTTAAAATGATATATTCCCCTTTCCCCTTACAGGATGGTAAGAAGAACTGCGTCTCTCAACTCAGCTACAATCCTTTCTCCACAGCAACAAGGAAAATTGGTTGAATGCTGTGCACACACCCCCATGGAAAAGGGTCTTAATTAGATGTACTGCTTCTGTTGTTCTCAGATTGATTCTAATCTCGCTCAATTAGCCATTTCTGTGCCTTTAAGGACAGCCACCCATTCAGTCTCTGCAGGTTTCCTTGTGCTGGTTATAACGTGATCAGATAGTCTCTTGAGTGCAAAGCTTCCTCCTATGAACTGAATATCCCCTCCCCCTTTTTTCTGTTGTCAGCTGCTTTAAAGCTGAGTGTCTGCACAGCTGGTAGAGATTTTCCATAGGAAAAAGCATTGCAATAACAAAATGATGCTGTCAAAACCACTATCACGCAGGTTTATACTGAGAGAACTGCAGAGATTCTTGCCATATATTAAGAGGTTTCACGGATTTAATCTTTAATCCAAAAAGATTCTGTGGTGCATTTTTTTCCTGTCTTTTGAATAGATTATCAGTTATTTATTTCATATTACCTCACTGCATAGAGCACAATTGATTGTGTGGGAGATGTTAAAGCTCAAACAAGAGGTACAATGTGTCTACTGCTTTCTTGATATTTATGCAGATGTCTTCAAACAACATGAGAATTGTTACATTGATTGAACGAACACTACAAATACCCAGAGAACAACCAGTTGTCTCAATAACATTCAAGCACAACACAAGCATACAGAAATGTGAGACCCAAAACACCTGTGTGCCCAGTCTTGAAGTCTAACGTTTGCTATAACACTAGATTTCAAGAACATCCCTACAGTAAAATCAATTTTCCATTACATCAGGACCCTAACTGCCTGAAGCGTTCTTCATTACAAATGTTATCTTTTAGTATAAAAATGGTCTGTATGGTTACCATAAGGATTATGAAAGCTTCTACCTTTTGTGTATTCTCACAATACAGCCTCATATATACAGTGGCTGGGGGGAATAAACCTGGCTTTTGTAAAAGTACTACTCAAGGACACATTTGCAGGTGTAGTCTGTTTTACTTTATTTGGAACATCAATGCTGTTTTAAGAGAAGTTTAATCAATATTTTCATACTCAGTTTTTGCTATAACATTAGACCACAAGACAAAATACAAATGCTACTGAGTTGCTATAGAACAGCCTGACATTTAACTGAATATAGTTCATCAAGATATTATTTACTTAACTGTGATATGTCTGATCTATCTAAAGTAAAATTAAGATGGCAGTCAGTCAGTTTCCTTATACGCTTGCATCACCCACTTACAAATATAAATTCAAATGATTTTTCTTCGGTGTAACACATCACAAATACTGTTTTGGGCAAAAATTCATTTCATAATCACAGCAAAACAAAGCAAAAAAAAAAACAACCCATGATTTATCATTCATTGCTTTTAGTACGGATAGTGGGTGTACAAGGACTGTTCACCTCATGAGAATGAGGTTTAAATTAGCTTAAATTAGCTATTAGTATTCATAACTCTAATATGGTCATTACGTATTTCTTTTGTTTGCTTACTGTCCCAAGTTGCCTTGAAATGTTTTGTATTTTGATGTATTTGGCACTATATAAAACTGAATTTGTTAACTTCTACTGAAATGTGACATATATTGTCTATCTGTATATCAGAAATACAAAGACAGCAAATCCCGCAACGGGTGAGAATTTCCATTGAATTCTGACCCAGCAAAAAATGAGGCACAATAAACGGTTATCAGATTGCCACAGCAACCATAGAGAAGGGCATTTAATCCATTTGAGTTTGTCGGAAGAACTGATGGCGAGGACATAAATTCCTTTTATTACATGTAGTCACCCAGCTTATTAACTCAAATGCAAGAATGGATTTATAGCCTTGCCGACCTCAAGGTAAAGTGCCACTCAGCTTGGTTTAAATTATTCTAGACATGTGCACACACATGCATGAACATGTGTGTATAAATAATATATGTACAATACATACAGTATATGGGGTTTATCAATTAGTAATGTAAAATCAGTTATTCTCCATTTACTGGAATCGTTTTCTTGGAAAAGCCTGAATAACACTATTTTGAATTGGGCTAAGGTCACCTTGACGAGAGAATCTTGTCCCTGGTAATCTCACTGGGTCTCAGCTGGTTTCAATCTTCACTGTTGGGCAGGCCAGGGCTATATTCCAGTCCTCCCCCTATTACTGCAGTTCTGTCTGCAATGCATCATTCCTTCCTTGACAGGAAATCACCCAGAGCACTATTCTGTATTAAAGACTGCCATTTCAGGCTCAAACAGTTTTGAATAAGTACTTGGTACCATTAGAATTAAGATGCTTATCTCTTGTACTTACCACCTAAAGCTTGCTTCATCACAAAATCCATGGTGCTGCTTCAAGTGTTTTCAAACCCAATGAGAAATTTGCATGCAGCCGGCTCACTTTCAGGTGTTTATAGGTCTGTGTGAAAGATTTATCACCTAAGAGAAAGAGAAAAAAAAGAGGAATTACTAGACGTCTAGGACTTCATCTGACAAAGCAGACAGAAAACTGAGGACCTGTCAATTGAAGACCTTGCTAAATATCCCATCTGTCAGTGGGGGTGATCAGCAACTTCAGTCCATGTCAATACTTCATCATTAAAGGTGATTTTGCAGGACCTCGTTCCCGAACCCTGCTGAACACACATTTTTAAAACTGTCTGCTATTTTCAGCAGACACACTTGTCTCCTGAGACTCGCCTTTGATGGGAAAATACTATCCTGTGCCAGGCAGCTATTTCTAATTTGCTTTCCTTTGCATGAATTTTATTCCATCTGAAAATTATCAGTGAGTACTGAAACAAAGTCTTGTTTTATGTTTCATTCAAAATAGCAGATACAGTAGCACTAAAGTAGGAATTACTGAATACTGCCCTGGAGGAAGCACTATTTAGAAGCGTGAAAGAGAGCACTCAATGCCTTAAACCTTTCTGGTATTTTAAGGAAGCTTACTAAAGGGCATTCAGTTCACTGACTTTAGATAACATGGCATTTTTTTATACTGTTGCCTACGGCTGCGAAAGTCTGCTGCTGGACAAGACAGCCGATTTCCATTCCAAGTGAAAAGCTTGACCATTAACTCACTTTAACTTATAGGTTCATTAGATGTTTTTTTTCCAAGAGGCTATGGCAGCATTGTCTATTAACTTATGAGCTGTGCAACTGAGATCAGAACAGGGGTTTCCCATACAGCACCTAACCCGCACACCTGCTGGTTTTTGTTCCAAATGAACAGTAAAATAACTCAACTCTTAGACGCAATCATATGTTTAACCTGAAATATTTGCTTTCTGTTCCTGAAAGTATAGGAGGTAAAATCACCAAAAATTTGCAAAGGTTGTAAGAAACTGAATTAAAGATGCTTTCATTTAAGTGAATTCATTAAAACTGCAGATTTGTGGATCCCCAGGATGAGAATTGGGAACCCCTTCTTTAAGGGAATGCCAAGTAAATGCAACAAATAGATCAGAACAATCCAAAGCAATAGGCGACTTGTTTATTGACATGCTGTTGTCTACAGTGGTGCACTGCCAGATTTAAAAATAAGCAATCATATCGAACAACTTATGGAAAATAACACAAAATATGAATTTTAATGATGCAGAAAATTAGGGTTAAATGATCATTAAATCAAAACACATGAAGCAGTGCTAATGCTCACATTGTCTGATGAAGAAAATTTGAGAATTTTGTGATAATGATTTTAAAAAGGCAGAACAACAGACTAAGATACATAGTTCAGATTTTAATGGTCTGTATCTAGGCTATAGGATTATTCACCTCTAACTGAAATTCCCCAAGTGGCAACACACAACTGGCCATGGGCTGGCTCTGTTTTGTGAGTCTGAGTTAGTGTATTTTCCCTTTTCTGCACCCAAAGACATGCATTATTAGAGTTTCTACCACCCACAATTTAAGAATTATTTTTTTATGACAATGCTTTTAAAAGCCTTCTGAAAATTTAAACATACCACATCATATGCTCTGTTCGTAGCCATTACTGCTATTGTTTGTTCAAAGTACAATAACAACTTATTTAAACAAGTCCCGATTTTTCTAAATCCATGTTGACTAACCTCTAGAATCCTACTGACACAGATAATCCCAGAATGTATGTCTAATTATTATTTCCACAACCCTTCACGTAATTAAAGGACATAATTAGTGTCTAATCATTTAACTTAGTTCCTCTTTTTATGGGTGGGCGCTAGATATTCTCGTCAATGAGCACTACCCTATCCTGATATTTACTTTTAGTGTGCACAATAAAGGACCATGCTTAGAACCCTTCTGGAAAAATATTTTTTTCTCCTCAGAAAACTGTGAGCACTTAACGAATGTCACATGTATTAGATGCATATAATGGCAAACAAACACATAACCATTCAAACACAGATGATCAAACACACATCAGAGCTTATGTAAGGTCTTCATGTGGACTTGTTAATACAGTATTTTGCATCATGAAGGCTTTGCCAATTGCTTCTTTAGAGTATGCGATGTCACCAATTTCTTTGTAAAGGACTTCAAAGCTTCTTCATTGTTCCTTGAAAATCTTTTAGTTATTCATGCCAACAAGCTACCTAATCCTAACTTGATTATGCTTCTATCCTCCCGTTTTCCACAGACTGTTTTCTAATATCCCTTCAGGACAGAATTTTCCACGGCATTTTGCATTTTTACCAAGACACTGCAACATTAAGGATTTCAGTGCCTTCTTGAACACCAGTTTATTTTTCTTTTTTCAAGGGATTAGACTCATATTGATCAAATATATTAGCATAGCATATAACATGTTCAACGGTCACTCATGGTCACAGATTTATGTCAATTAATAAATATAAATAAAAGGCTTTGTTACATCTTTTTACAATTTAAAAAAGTTAATTCTGTTCATCAGTCTGGTGAATTTTGTTACATACAGTAGATGCATTTTTATAATGCTGGATAGACTGATAAATGGACTTTCCATTTTTCAAATATCTGTCCCATTATATTATCTGCTTTTCATTTCCACCAGCGAATATGCATACAATCTTTCTGTTATTATTAATCAGTTATAGGCCATTAACTATTCAGGAACATTATTGCTTCAGAAACTGAATATTGGTAATAGGCCTCATTTTGTCCAAGTAATTATGTGAAATACATTTATCCTAGTAAGAGATGTTCTTGTCTGGGTCACACTTAATGGCTTGTTAGTAAGACGAAAGGCAGATTCTGTCTACTGCATAATGCCGTAGACTTCACTTATTAGGTTAAAATACTGAGTAGAATTCTGTATTAGATTTGCATGTTATTTTTCAATAACTTTTTCATCATCTGAAGAGTGTTACGTATCCTCAAGACATGCCCAGTGTTTTTTAAACAGACATATACTGCACGGCTTTATAAGTATTTTATTTTTGTATTTAATTTTTTATTCAATCACATAAATCAATTGAGAACAAGCCTCATTTCCGATAACAACCTGTTAAACCTGTCAATTTATATGACAGAGGATTTTCTGAAGCAATTATGGTTAAGTAGATTGCTAAAGAGTACAACAGCAGTATCGTACCTAGGATTTGAACCAACCAGTCATCTGCAACTGGGATTTCTGTGCCCTACATGTTGCTACTCAACTATCATCTGAGCAAACTTTAACAAGATTCATCACATCTTTTTCTCTCACAGTAATAAAACATTTGGTCTTTCTAATAAAATAGAAGCAGCTTCTTTTTCTAGTATTCAGTTTTGGATAGTTTTCAAATCAAAATGTAGTTATTTTCCAGTAATTACAACGGAATTGATTTTATTTGCACACAGAAGCCAGTATGGTACGCCTCCATCAGTTGTCCTGGTAGTGACTTTGTGCCATGAAAGAAGATGTCTACAGCTTCTTACCCTTCACATCCAGTGATCCTGCCTCTAAAGAAGACTCAACGTTCTTAATTCATCATACAATCTGAATAAAAGCTTAGCACAGCGTGACACTGCTTACTCAGAATGAGCGCGTAATGGTGATCAGACACCCCATAAGTCTAATTTCTGCCAGGGTGGGGTGATAGACTTTTGAAGGAGCACTTGGTGAAGGAATTGCTGTGTTCCCCGAGGCTGGTTGTATACTTGAAAATCCTGCTAAATATACTGTATAAAGGAATCTGCTGCATCTATCCAGACCGTACTGTACCAACAGATCTGTTCTTACATCAACAGAAAAAAAGGACAAAGCTGAGTTCTGATTTGAAACTTTAGTGAAACTTTACAAGCATTTTTCCCACCCAGAACAGACCTTCTAATACTACATACATTTTCTTTACAAGGCAATCATATCAAATATTTTATCACCAGACCCAAGGCCTATCACCAAGCAACCAAAACCACACAGAAGTACAGTGTGACTTTAGTTTTGTTTCAATCAAATAAAATTGACCCCCAAAAAATATCTGTGCAATGCGATTTGTAATAAATAATAATAGTTAGATTTAGAAAGTAAAGCTTTAAATAAAAAATGGTAACTTTATTCCTGGTGTCATTTTTTCATGTTTGTTGTTACTCAATTGGAATGTATCATTGACAGCAAATTTTCGGAGAATAGAGTGGTTGTAAATGGAATGGAAAATGGAATTTTGGAACGCTGCCTCCAGACCCCTTTTACAAAGAAAGTAGGCTTGTATTCCAATTAACATCCCCCCCATGCTTCATAGATTACTGAAGATCATTCTGTGATGTATTGGTACTTCTGTGTATATGCTTTACAGGCGCGCATTAACTTTGGGTACCAGGATACATTTGCACCATTGATTGTGGGGCAAATTGAAATTCCTTATTCATTCTCACATTCTACCGTCTCTTTATTACAGACAAAATAAAAGAGCTGCTGAAATTGAAAAACAAAATACAATTATATCCAGAAGGACATTGTGAGTACAACAGGTCTAAGCTCATGTAGCTTAGTACTTAATTATAATCACAGCTCTTTGCAAAGAAGCAAAACATATATAAAGATGTATCTCATATAAAGAGCATACAGTATATTTTATATATGCAGCATATGCATACACCTGATGTCTTTTTAATACCACAGTGTCACATCCAAATTGTGTATGCATGACCCTATTTATAAATGAAATCACTTACATTAATGGGTTTGCCTTAAAAATACATTTAATATAGTCTAGGAAAGCTGCAGTAATAGGGCTCTAAATAGAAATGAATTACTCAACGACATGAACTGCAGTACGGTGATTGGAAAATTCTGCAGCAGATAATTATAACATAAAATTGTCCCTTTTCTCTACACCTGACTTCCTGACACATACTGTATGTAGGAACAATGAAAACATAATAAACGAATCCTGGCACAATGAATTTGGGTATAAAGACAGTACTCCAAAACACCCACAGACATAAGTATGTAATTCTTTCATATTTGCTAAATAAACTGGATATCTTGTGAAAATATTTACCATTCAAAGGCCACATGTGCATTTAACCCAATAAATATTTTGGATGCATGTTGCTTTAAACAAAACACATGCAAATGTCACAAAGGAAGACATAGTATAAACCAAAGGACACATGAAAATTGTTTACACTTTAACAGGACAAAAACGTAAGTACTGTATATAGTTAGTTTACATCTCTTGGCAAAACGTTAAAAGGTACCCACTTATCAAAGTTTTACAACTGAGATAAAAAGTTTATCTTTATCATTGAAGACACTTCTTAAGAACGAATGCACCCAAAAAGAAAAAAAATCTATATTGTCGTGTTTTTTGTGATAGTATGTTTTCATGTATATGCATATCTATACATGTATGGGACCACTACTGTACATAATTAGTAAAACAAGTCAAAATCAACACCCAAGCTGCAAAAGAAATAATCAACTATGGGATGATAATAGATTATCTATTATTGTTGCTACATTAAATTAATCTTTTGGTTTTTGACATTCATAAATTAAGAACTAAAGTAAGAAAATGACAATAATCTTCAATATCAAGGCACTTTGAGAGAAAGTAAACAATTTTGCAATTAACGGATTAGCAATCCATACAACTCTTGACGGAAAAGAGAGTAATCATCTCAAGACAGTTTTGTCTGTTTATTATTTTTTATACTCCTGCTGAATTGTTATCAGACTATTGTCAACATCATCACCATCATCAACACCACAATGTCTTTATAAAAATTATGTAAAAAATGTTCTTGACTTTCTTATATGCCGTGCTGCCTATAAATAATGTATTTAGAACCAGGTCACGTTAAATGAACCTGTAAATACGTGAAAGCTTTCCCAGTTTGTCACGATCACGTACTCAGACTACACCAGGCATACAAAGTATCGTGTCAGCTTTTAAAGCAAAAGACGTTCTTGTTCTGTTATGAAGCGATTTATTTATTCTTGGCTCTGCAGACTTTGTCTTAATAAATTACGTTCTGAATAAAGGACACAATCTCTTTGTTTTTATTCTATTATACATTTTAGAATGTCATATTTTATTGGTGAAAGTGAGACTGCAATTTTCAAGCATGGTTATAAAACATGAATACTGACACGTTTGAAAAACAAATATTATAGAAGCATGAACTGCATTTTAATTTACTCCACTTAGAATACACTGCTGTGTACAGGAAATAAAAAAGAAACAAACTGTAAATGAAACATTTTGTGTTGTATAGAACTTAAAAAGATATGTTACGGGACATCTGAGACGAAGTCCTTCTCCAGCTTTGTAAAAGGAAATGACCATCCGCAACGCAAACCACCGCTTCTCCTTAAATGGCAAAAGTTGTCACTGCTAAAACAGTACAACAACAAATCTAACGCTCGTCTACCTTATCTACTCTTGCAAGCTGCAAATATGTGCTATCGAGGACTGCATCCCGTTTAATAACGCTACCTGTTTGAGATTAACAGAACTGCAGCGCTCCAGAACAGTGAGCATCCACCTCGTTCATTTACAAATCTTGCTTACTTATAAGGTGAAACTGAAAAAGAGCTAACTCACAAGCCCCAGGAGAAATCGAATAAGGCGACAGTGCTTTGATCTTTTCCACAGATGGGGGATACTAAACCTTGCCGACAACAAAAGTTAAGACACTAGCGAAAAAATGAGCTGGAGCAGTGCCAGTCACGGTGACGCCCAATGATTCGTCTACACAATGAATAAAACCGTCATGCAAACAATGTGCAAACTATCGATTAGCTTCACCGGTATATGACAAAAAATAGGTTACCAATTATTTGTGCAGACAACAAATCAAAACAATTGCCAGATGCAAACTCAGCGTTTGTCCTGGGAACCCGAGGCTTTTAAGCATAAAACCACCTCTGACCCAAAACGAATCTACAGTATGTCCCTAGTGGGAACAACCTCCATGCCTTCCAGCGCACAAAGCAATGAATTACAAGTGAAATATTTTATTTTAAAAGGCATTATAAATAAAGCATAATACGAACTGTGGAAAGACTAAACAATGCATGAGGTCATTGTAAAGAGAATTGCTGTGCAACAGACTCACCGGTGTTAGAAAGGTATTATTTCCCACTGCACTGTGACACAAATCTGAAACTGCATGCAATAAAGACAAAAACAATCTGTGTCTTTTGAACACCAGGGAGCCTGTAAAATTGCCCTATCAGCACCGTGCATCCAGTCGTTTCCCCGGCAGCAAGAACACCTTTTTTCATTTGTAGGCACCGAACCTCAGTTTTAAGAGTATCCGTTTCACACGGGTTTTACTCCTTTAAGAAAAGTTGTGGACAAGCACTTACAAGTGAAAATCCATCATTTCGATTTTTTTTTACAAATATGCATTGCTACATTATGTATATTCGTTATTACCTATGAGAATAATCTTAAAAATCCTTTTAGGAAACGCGCGTTGTTCTCCGCATCTCAGAAAACCTAGACGTGAGCTGTCCCTTCAGCACCACGGACAATGCAAAAACTCTAAAGCACCCCTTCACACTAATTGTAACAAAAAAACATTCATAAAAAATGAAACCACTAAAAGTAACGATTTGATCTTTACTCCCAGAGCTTGATTATCAATGCATCTTGATATTTTTCATCATGCGTATCGCGGATGTTATTAGAGGGAAAGTACAAATACAATAAAAGAATCGTCGAACCTTAACTACTGTAATCACATTGCTAAACAGGAAATTCAGCTTCTATTGCACGTGTTGCATTTAAATGCATGGCTTTACATGTGTTCCAAAAACCAATAGTGATACTATTGCATCAACTAATTCAGCTTCTGTGCTGTAAACTGTACTGTATGGTACTGTATTTAAATTAGTTCCAGTACCGAATTTGCGCACACTCTACGTGTTTTCTCTAAGATATTTAAGAACGCTTTTATAAACATTCGCTGCTTATAGTGATTACTGTACGTACACATGCACGTTTTTAAGTCATTACAAATAGGAATCACGTGTGACTATAGGTGGTATTGAAACGGAGTAGAAGCTACGCGTAAGTTGCAAAGGCTAATGCAAATCCTTAACAAAAACGTTAAAAAAAAACAAAAAAAAACCCAACAGATTGCTTTTTGACGAGAGGAAGGTAGTCATGAAGTCCTCCTTTCGTCCCGTACTAACCTTTAACAGAGTCCTTTTCAGTCAATCCTTCTTACAGCTTTGTGTTTTAAAAAGGTATGCTTCCTCAACAGAAAGCAGTCAAGTTCTTCTGTTTAGGATGATAATCGCTTCCTAAAAGCAAGCTCACCCAATCATTATCCTCAGCCACAAGCACGCTCTCTCTCTTTCTCTCTCGTGCTCAAACCCTCCCCCTCCTCTCTCTCCTTCCATTTAGAAAAGGCACATCAAATTTACGTTCAGCTAGATCAATAATGCCACAGAGCTGGGGTCATATTTTTAACCTTCAGTGCTCACCTTTGCATAGGCCAATCCTGTATTTATCAGCAATTCATCCTCCTTACCTACTGCACGTACTACAAAGCACAAAGGTGTTTGTAATTGGTATGATACAGGGTCACCACATATAAAGTAGTAACATTATAATATCTTATCTTATCTGGAAATATGCCAATTCTCTCTGGTTGCTCTGTCTCTCCAAGATTGTATGGAAAATATCAGATCTCTCTTGTTCACCGTATTCGACTTTAATTAGGCACTTCATTGGATTGTGTTTACTTTACCAGATCTGCTTTCGAATATTAATCATATCTTGCTGTTAGTATAATAACACTAGGGATCTTTTCATGCTAGTCCTTGTTCCAGCTCAGGCACTTAATAAATTAAGCATTATGATACTGGCAAATCAGAAATGATGACTGTGCTATTAAAACACTATATCACCAATGTATCTTCAATCATACTACAGTATGTTGTGGACAGGCTCACATCATTTTAATGGACTATTGAATTAGTTTTATGATGATTTTTTTATCTGACATTATAAGATTTTTTTGATTTTCTAAAGATGTTATAAGATAATAGAAGTTTAGGGTTTGGTTTTCTGTTGATGACAATGTGTCTTTTAATTGACTAATTCTACAACATACACCTTATTTAAAGATCTTATGTAGAATATGTTTGTGTTGTGTGTCTGTAGATGTGTATGTGTATTTTTTTTTAACCAGGTACTGCATATTGAAACCACATTTCTCAGAAAAAGGTCAGATGATTATCACACCTGATGAAACCAGCTTCCCTCCTCAGAATAATGGCTTTAGTTTGAAAATTGAATGTTCACTCTGCGTCATACCACAAAAGTTCTACACATACAGTATGTGATGTCTAAAGGCATTGTATTCAAAAAGGTGGATAAAGAAAAACAAATCATTTGATTTCTTATTCGATTATATTGACATCGGATGTTTTCTGTGTTGGGCAAGTAAGTTGATCTCTGTGCTAAAAACAAGTAGCAAATTGTTGATAGCTAGCAAAGCGTAATAATCACCTCTACAAACGTTATCTTTAAGAATGAAGTTTATCAAGGACATTAGTAGAACAGAAACTTTAGCACCAGTCATCTGTTAAACTGAATGCTTCTACATTAAGTTCTCAACCTTTGCCCTGACAGAACTCACCTGCATATTCAAGTCTGAATACAGTACCTCTTATATCAGATAAGCAGTCACCATGTGAGGATCAGAGAGAGGGACCCATTCCTTGATATTTGTTTTCAACAATTATTCACACATGAAAACAAAATCAACTCTAAGTACTTCCCATCATGTAAATATAAACCACTTTAGAATTATGAACAACAGCTAGAGTTCCAATGAGGTTTAGTATATGTGGTGAGATATTAACTGTTGCCAGTATTAGAGTTGGAATTAGAATCCTGCCTAATAAGCTTTTGTAGTGGAATTTATTTTCTCTCTCTCATAAATAACCTGGCCCATCCAGCAGATAAAAAGTCATAAGCATCAACACCTGAAGGAGGAACCACAGCTGAAATGTTGTGTATCTTTCCTTTTCCTTTCAAGCATAGAACAAACCTTTACATATTCCTGTGCAGCCTATACATGCTGGCAGAGCTACCTACTTGAACTAAGTCAATACTTGTTGACTTAATGTTGTTTTTTATTGAACAATAGTGCAAGATTATTTAGTATACAGGCATAACCCAGAGATGATCCCTATGCTAGCACAATCTTTACAAATGCTGTTTAATTTTTAGTTTACATAATTACAAGCAAACTCATATTGTTAAATGGATGTTAACTTCTAAAACATTTTAAAAGTATAGGATCATTAAAACAAATAGTACAATAGTACAGTATGTATCTGTATAAAACATGCAATTATTTCAATGGATGTAGCATGTTTTTTATCATTTGTTCTGTATAGTTCAATATATTGGAATTGTAAGATAGTTATCTGAGCTCCGGTAAGAAAAGCACAGAAATTCTGAAATCTAGATGAGAAAACATCATGAGTGTTGGTGCAGAAACAGATACTATGGTAACAAACGGTAGTTTGTTTTATTGCTTTTGTACTATAATTTACACCTCCACATCTGCATTTTAATTGCATTGTAAATTCTAGGGTTAATGACATTGAAAACAGCATTTACAGTGGCATTATTGTGTAACCAAACTAAATTTTAATTGCCCTGCAGTTCGGTTCCTTGTATTAATCTGGACTATTTAAACCACAGACAGACATGACCCTCTTCTAACCTACACACACCCGCACACAACACAAATTGGCAAAGACATTAAGAAAGTAGTTTCTGCAGCAGTACAAGTCAAATTAATTCTAAATGAAAGAAACAGGCATTAAGACTGAAAAAAGCACTAACAACAGTCTTAGTGGTTTTCAGAATCATGAAGAGAAAGACTTAATGGAAATCACACAGATAAATAAATCCTTGAAAATACATTATCATCTAAGTATTTTTGGTGCAGAAACTGTACTCAACTAAAAAAAGTACTAAAAAAAACAAATATATTTAAGTTCAAAGAGGATTTGACTGATTTGAACACAGTCATATACCTGGATAACAAAGGAATAATTTCCATAAGCTGCGATATGTTATACAGGGGTGGTTTGAAAACCTAACACACAGGAAAATAAATGTTGTTTAAGCTACTTACAAACCATGTCCGAATTCATTACTGCAAAACTCTAGACTGCTTTGTTTGTAGTTTGTAACAAACAAAATAAGGTTTAATGTTTGAGTAACATATAATACTATGGTCACATATAATACTTTATATGTGACCATGTTAAAAGGGTCAAATCTCATTTTACCTTATCATGTCTAAAAGCAAATTTAAAAACATGAAAATTGAAATCAACCAGCTGTTTAAGAATCATCAGAAGGGTCGGAAATGCCTCCAGGACAAGGGTTCAAAACCACTAAATGGAAGATATTAACTGATGTTCGGGAGGGATAACAGTGACAAGTTAATCTCACACAGCTGTTCGTAATCACAATAATTACAGAAATTAGCTATATATATCGAACACAAACACAAATTCGTCTCGAGCATCCTTCCTCCACCCCATCCCCACCTTGCAGCTCCTCTTTGGTTAACTCCTCTCTCTGAATGGGGTTTGAGCTTCCTCATTTTACGGCCAGAAGGCTTCCCATTAACCAAGTGGATTAAGCCAAACCTATCCTACCAAATAATCACATTCACAAATCATCCATTTCTTGGATGTTGTTGTCCCTCATGAATTTAGGATAATAATACAGTACTCTGATCATGAATCAGAGCAGAACAATTCTGGACTATAAAAGATGAAGTGATTGTCTCACATGTCTATAGGTTTCATAAAAATAGAAGCTACAGTACAGTACTGCTCTTAGTGCATTAAGATGAGTTATGCAAGTCCATGAGCACAAGAGAAAGTTGAAGTAGTTCTACTGTATGTCTCTTGCACTTGAGAGTGTAGATAGAAGCCTCTAGCATTACATACAGTGCTTTTTTACTTTTTGTATTCCGCAAAGGATTTGGTATGCAAGCCAAATAAGTGCCCCTATGGCTAACAGAGGTATGGGAATAGATGAATTGGATTGCTAGAGGATTTGTAAGCAAGATACAAATCTGCCTCCACATTTTCTCCTATTAGTATGCATGTCAGGAGTCTACCAGTAAAAAGGCAACACTTTTTATATCATAAAACAAGACTCATGGGCACCATCCATTTTGTTAATGAGTTGAAAAAGAAGTTTGAAAAGCTAGGATCCACTTCAAAAGGAACACAGTTAACCATTTCAAATTGTGAAAGGAAGAGAAAACCAAGTTGATGAAGAAAGATTTTAAAATAGTATAAATGCAAGGACAAAATACTGATTTTATGAAGATATTGCATCATTTATGAATCTAAGCATTTTGGTGAATGTGTGATTTTGTTGCTTGTCTAAACTTGATTGAAGCAAGGCTTAAAGTGTTTCTCAAGTGACTTAACTAATCCCACATATTGATTGCTGATTGCAAATTGAGCTTTTCTCAGATCTTTTTCCATCATTAATGAACACTTAGAACTCTTCTGATACATTGCCTTTTACTAATCTGTTTGTTAAGGAAACTGTGTTTTAAGCCTTGACTTACAGAATACTGTACTGAGATGTGTAAACAATTTCAATAGGATTCCACACTATTCACCTGCAGCGTACACAAAGCAAGAAAAAGCAACAATCCAAATGGAAAAAAAGACATTGCAGCTGTGGGCTTCCTGGAAATCAAAGCATGTGTGCTCTGAGTAGATGTGCACAGGTGCTCTGCAGTGCTATTGCTTTCTGTCTGTAATGTTGTGTTGAGTGCCCCATTGGCTATTGTCATTCTCTTTATACTGTATATGTATTTTGCTTACTGAAGTGGTATAGTGTCACTTTTCAGCAAAGAAGGATCTGAAAGAGATGATTGATTACCTTGAGAAATTTAACCTGCTGGTATGTCCTGGACCTCTGCATTATCCTCATGTTCTCATTAGATAATAAGAATATAAGAAAGTATGTGTTCCTTACTTCTTGACCTTAAAGTGTCAATGTTAAGTACTTCCCACAGGAAAAAAAAGGAGGGAGGGAGTGTGCAAATAAAGTACATTTCGATTTGAAGGAATTTATTTTCTTTTTCTTCATTTCTTTGAGCTTTTCCAGTCATCAGCTTTCCTATTGAATTATCTTTCAGGCAGGTCTGAGACATATTGTCCATTTGCTTGGACGGTCTATGTGTCAGAGAACAATGTATGCAAGAAAAATGAAAGGAAGGGGCACAGATCAAGGGGGGAACCATACAACCCAAA